TCCGATTTTTGAAAAACGTTTTTTTTGTGCCCAAAAAAGGTCGCCTACAAAATTTGCATGCAGTTTTTCGGCCTTTTTTGAAGGACTATTGCTTGTGCAAAATTTTTTGACTTATAGATGGACTTTTAAAAAAATCGAAGAACGTCATGCCCTGCATATTTGCATGCTCTATCGAATGGTAAAAAAAGTTTTCGAAAAAACATAGTTGAAGGCAAAATAACTGGGATGGAAAATGGGTCATTTTTGACCAGTGTTCACCGTATAACTTTCGTAAACTTGCATATTTCGGGCTGAAATTTTTATGGTAGACTGCCACCTATAGTCCCAACATATCCTGAAAATTTCAGCCGATTTGGGCTTTCTTTGGCGAAAATCGACCTTTGAGGTGGAGGGGGGGGCTTAAGGTTTTTTCTATTCTTTTAACCGCTTTCGTTCTCCTCCTCGTCTTCTACATTCAATATGAAATGACAAACGTGTTGTGAAAGAGCACCGCGCAGAATGTGAATTATAGAGGTATAAGTTGGATCTTTCTCTTTCTATTCTTTCGTTACGAAGAAAGGAAGAAATAATCATCAGTATAAAATAGATTTGTGCTCGTGGCTCTGTCTATTATCATTTGAAAAAAATTCTTCTCTATTACATTGAACATCATCATGCCCGATGAACGGGCCAAATCAACACCAGTAGAATTCAAGGGCAAACTAATTTGGGAACTTATCTTCGATTACAACCATATAGGAAAAGATGCGACAGGAAAATATGAGAAGAAGGAGGTAATAAGAGAGAAATACCAAGCGCGTACCGTGGTGGAGACAGTGAATGAAACTGCGAAAACTACAACCACTACGAACAATGTTTCATTAAACCTTGGTGCCGCAACTAAACTACTGTCCGCAAGCATTGGTTCTAGTTTTGAGAATTCAAAAAACGTTTGCGAATTCATGTCAAAACGAATGGAAGAAAATAAGGACTATGAACGTGAATGGGAAATTGAAGAAAAATATGAACGTAAGTTCGATTTATATGATTTGAAATTTATTTATAATGTTTGTACATCATCCAGATGAAGTCGGCCCTAACACTCAGTTAGCGTTGTATCGAATATATTTTATGGCACCAGGTGTTGTTTGTCCAGGGGGTTTGGTTACGAATAGACAGGACGATAAAGACGTCCACATCATGATTAATGTGCAAACAATCGAATTAATTCGAAATCTCATCGTGAGTATCCGTATTGTGACTGATACGATTTGGGGAGTATTCGACGACTATTTTCTTCACAGGTCGTTTATGGCGATAATCCATCTGATGCACCAACAGAGAATCGGGTACAAGAAATAAAAAATCAGAACGATGTTCAATCTGATGATCTGAATAAAGACTTTCGCGGAAAGTAAGTACTTTTTTAAACATCCACGTCGATTATTTTGTACCATAGATATACATGGCTTGTCGCCGAATATACAACAAATGTGGAAGATGCCGCTTCAAGCTTTCTCATCTATATGCAATCGCAAGAAAAACATGGCATGGAAGACATTGCGCGTGGCACTGGTGGAGATTTCCGATATGTTGTTCCAGTAAAAAACCAACGGGAAAAGAAAAAGATTAATGAGATTAACCTATTACGCTCTAGTAACTCGGTGGACGTTGTACCTGATGGTTATTCTGGAAAGTCAATTGACATAAACAGAGGTCGCAAAAAAGATTTTTTGTATCTTATTTGGAAAACTGTGGACACATAAACTTAGTCGAAAAATAAAAAATACATACAGTAAACAGGAGAAGAGCATTCGTTTTTGCAGACGCTCTAAATAAAAAGTGTTCCAAATGCGTTTGGAAAACGAGACTGGGGAAAGTTTCTTTGTTCTTCAACGAGTGGTGATATTAAAAGTCTTATTTGCTTGGTACTGTACCATTAGTACAGTCATGTCTACCTCACTACATGTAATCTATTTGATCTAGAATATGTATTGAAGAAATTTGAAGTCGATGTGAAAAATGTGTTTTTAGCTATTTCTCAATGAAGATCGTCTGTTCAGACACAATAAGGATGTTTTAAAGTATATGAGCTACCAGAAAGAAGCCCGTCATACGTAAGAGATTTGCAGATGTGATTTATGGCTTTGACTTACAAGTTGAGAGAGTTATCAGAAATCGGACCTGAGTTATGTTAAACGAAAGAGAACGTCTTCGTTTCTATAATTGTAGAAATATTTTTTATACAGTCATCATGCACCACGAATAACATGTTCTGTAAGTTTGATCGAAATCAGACAAGACTTGCAGGTTTTTGAGCGTTTCTCACTTTGCAAATCAGTCTTTTAACGTAAAACAAATATTATATTCGTGACCAGTATTAAAAATGGCATTTAATCAAGGGGGAAGCGGCGGATTTTCGGGATTTTGAATCGCAATAAAAATCCAAAAATCCAATATAATCCCAAAAATCGCATGTGAATTCCAGAATTAAGATTAAAATTATTAGGACTTTATGATTATTTTAAAGGACTACTATACACGAATAAGTGTAATCTCGTGACTATCCGACTTTTCCTTATAAAGATGGTACGCATTCAATCTCTTCGTGTTTTAAAATTTACAGTCCCATAAAGTGCTGTAGTGAATATTAGCACTATTTCTTGTAAAAATCTCATCTAATGTGAGATATGTGCTTAGGGTATTATTTATTTATAAATAAAATTGAACGATTGGTGAATGTCTTTGTGTTTTCCATTATATATTGAGGCTGTGGTACTCACATATAGGCACTGGTAAAATTAATTCATGGGCAAAGTTGAAAATATTAATGTTCTATACCACCAAGAGTGCTTAAGTGTTCTAACTGGAAAATCAAGAAACGCCAAGAAGCATATTTTGCCTTAGATATATCCTTAAAAAGACAATATTGAAGCTGATTCAAATATCATATTATCGTCCATGAACATTTTCATATGTGAGTAAATTATATCGAAGAAGCTGTTTATGACTTGATGAGATTTGAATTTTTTTTAAAGAAATCTTTTTAAAAGGTTAGAAAATTGTAGAACAAAGTCTGCAATATTTAAATCTTCTTTCGGAAGTTTATATTGTTTTATGTAAAACAATACGGAAAAATGAGCTTTCTCAAATAGATGACATAAAATAAATTCTACAGATATGATTTACGGAATCCAAAAATGATAATGACAATATTAGAGTTACAAATCTAACTAGGTGTTTGTATCGAAAAATAATTCGTTATTTCCTGATGTTAATATAAGCTCTGGTGAGGCTATACTCAATTGTCAAGAAATTTTCAAAATAAGATAACTCAAGGAAACATGTCATTTGAAGGTCTGCAAACTTGAAGGATATGATCAAAACACATACGAACTGTTCGATACACTTTGACTCACTATGCAGATGTGTTCATATTCAGCATGCGGAATGAGTTGAGAATTTATCCAGAAGTAGCTGACCACTATTTTCTCCAGTGTCTTCGTGCATCAATTATTTTTCAGCGTGAGCTCAAAATATTTGAATAAAGCTATTCTCTATCTGAGTATTTTGAAAATTAAAATTATTTTAATGGTATGCTGATGATAATTCTCTTTATTCTGAATCTAATATTTATAAATGTCTTTTCAGAACCTTTCTTTTGACACTTATCTTACCGACTGATACCCTAGCAAACAAACATGTTCAAATACGCGTTTAAAACAATGAAAAAGTGCCTTGAAAACATAAAAAGTACGCGCTTTTGCCCTTTTTGTGCGTTTAAACGCATTTTCATCGAGGACACGATTGTAGAAACATATAAACGCATAAAAAGAAGGTGAAACGCAGTTGTCTTCCAGATCGTAAACAGTTATCACAATCATGATGGCGATTTACGACTGGGAAGAAGATATCTGTGTTTCATGTTCTTTTTGTGCGTTTATACGCTTTCAGTCGTGTTCTCGTTGAAAACACGTGTAAACGCGCAAAAATGGACAAAAACGTCTACTTTTTATATTTTTAAGACCTTTTTTGATACGTTTAAATGCGTCTTGGAAAATATTTGTCTGCTTTGATATCCTTTTCGTTTCGCGACGAAGATTTTTACAAAGCGGCAGAAAAAATTGCTGGGTCAGCCGAAGCTAAATTGCTAGAAGCTCAAGGAATTCGAAGTGTATATTTGTTTCTCAACATGGAAGATATACCTGGTATTCTTTCAATTTCACGCTCAGCCTTAAACGATATTAAAAGAGTTGTTTTGCTTTAAAGCCGACGATTACACTTACACAATGAAAACAGGTTGTTGTGGTAGTATTCGATACCTTTATCAACTTCTCTATCAAAAATACGAAGAACATCTCAAGACGCCGGGGGGGGGGGGGGGGGGGGGGGGGGGGGGGGGGGGGGGGGGGGGGGGGGGGGGGGGGGGGGG